TGTAAAACTAATGTTCTCCCATGTAAACTATCACATAATTCACAATAATCATTTAAGAAAAAAAAAAACACTAATAAATGCTGATGTGCAGAAAAGAAAAAAAAAGAAAGAATCCTACGGAGTGCAGTTTTACTCATGTATGTAGAGTCACCATGAGGCGCAACATAACAGCAACTGGTTCATGTGATAAAGAAGGCTTTTGATCTTTCCTCTGCTCTGAAACTTACAGTCGTCACCATGAAATCTCACTGACATATCATTTGTCTTCATGAAAATTGGAATTCCTTCTTGCAGAGAAGCCCATATTTGTGGTTTCAGTTTTTTCTTTCAGGAAGAAGAAGGGTTATATGTTTTGGTCTCTGCGGGGCCAGTATCTGAACAAACATTTCGGTTTCTGTTTCAGGCACAGCGCACGGGGGGAGAACAGAACCAGGTGGGAAGGGAGACTTCCAACGCCATCATGCAGCGAAGTATCATGTAAGGACCCTGCTCCCCACATCTTCCCCTGTCTCGTCCTTTCCCAATCCTCTGCTACTTTTTCTAAATCTGTATCTTGTCCTATTAAGTGCCATTGAGTTGGTTCCAACTCATAGTGACCCTGTATAGGGTTCCAAGGAGTGGCTGGTGAGTTTGAACCACCGACATTGCAGTTCAAACCGACCTTATGGTTGAGTACTTATCCTACAGTGCCACACCGGGGCTTGTTGTCCTAGAAGAACTCAAATCAGACTTTGCTTAGTTCTCTACTGTGGCAGTCACAGAAATACCACAAAATTTAAAGAACAGAATTTTATCTTTTCAGAGTTGAGGATCCCTGGCGGTGCTGTGGGTTAGGTGGTGATTTAGACCTGCCAGCCGTTCTGTGGGGAAATGGTGAGGCTGTCTGCTCCCGTGAAGATGCACGGTCTCAGAAACCCTATGTAGGGTCGTGATGAGTCGGAATCCACTTGACAGCACCCGGCCACAACAGTAACAGAGTTAGCAGCCCCAGTGACTGCTGGGTGATTTTCTCTCAGGTGTCCCAGCAGTATCTCGAGAGGTTTCATTGGCCCAGTGTGGGTCATGTGCTTGTTGTCCCTGAACCAGTCACTGTCGATGAAAGTACAATACGTTCATCAGCCAAGCTGGGTCAGAGGGTCACCCAAATCCTCTGCCCTGGGGTTGATTTCAACTCATAGTGACACTGTAGGCTACCGTAGACCTGCCCCATGGAGTCTCCAAGACTGTGACATTTACAGGCCGCCAGGAACAGTGGGTAGGTTCCAACTTAACCAGTATGCCGCCAGGACTTGGGTGAATAGGCAGACCCACTCAAATCATGTACTGCAGGAATTTGGGGAGGAAAATGGCATAGTGCTTCCATAAAAATGATAACCTTGGACATCCTCTGGACAGTCTGGTATGGCGCTGTAGGATAAGCGTCGGATTGCTAGCTGCAAGGTTGGTAGTTTAATCCCACCAGTTGCTTCTTGAAAACCTTATACAGGGTCGCTGTGAGTAGGAACTGACTCGACTACCTTAACAGTCATAGCAATTGACTCAACAGGGGTGGGCTTCACAGGTTCGGGGGGAGAGTGTCACAGGCAAAATGCCCTCTTTTGAGCCTCATATTGTTGTTAAGTGTAGTCAAGTCGGTTCTAACTCATAGCGACCCTGTGTAGGGTTTCCAAGGAGTAACTGGTGAGCTTGAGCCACTGACCTTGCAGTTCAACCTGACTTTGCAGTCCAGTGCATTAACCCACAGCACCACCCCAGCTCTCTGAGCATCATATTAGGATGCATGATGTCCACATGGTAATACAAGCCCTCATCCCTTACAAAGGTTCTAGAGAAGAATCCTCATCAAAAGGGGAGAAATACAGAACAGAATTTCAAATTCTCATGACATCCAGACTTCTGGATCATGGAGGCTGGATGAATTCCTGAAACTACTGCCCTGAGGTCATCTTTAAACCTTAAACCAAAAAATGTCCCCTGCCATCTTTAAACTGATGAGTAGTTGAGCTTCACTGGTAAAGAATGTCTGCTTTGAGCATTGTGCACTTTTAAGAACTGTAAGGGATCAAACTGACAATGGCAGCTGGAGACCTTAGATTGGAAGCTTAGGAGGCAGTGAGTTTATGTGAATGCGGGGGGACAGTCCAGCAAAGAAAGATGAGAATGCTCGCACAATGTAAAGAATGAAATCCACGTTACTGAATTGTACGGGTGGAAACTGTCAAATTGGGGCATGCCCTGCTGGGTATATTTTCAGCAAAATGGAGCATGAGTTAAATGATTTTACAAAGTATTTGTTGAATGAGTACTGGACTGATAAGTCGGTTACCTCTTTCTCTGAGCCTCTATTTCCTATCTTCCAAAGGGGGCTGCTTGGACTCTGGGTTACGTGCTTAGGTGTGAAAGAGCATCAGAAGCAGGGGGCTGCAGCTCAGCTAGGAGGGAATGTTGCTGCTATTGTCATTCCTGGGTTTTCCTCCTATGCTCCTGCAGGTCATTTTTCCAACCCAAGAAGGAGGACAAAATGAAGAAGCTTGAGAAGGAGACCTCCAAGAGTAACAGAGAGACCGATTCTCCCCCAAAGTATGTCACGGTGCTTGGTTGGGGTTTACTTGTTCCTTTGAAGCCCTGTTGTGAGTGTGTGTTTATGAATGTCTGCCTACTTTTATGTATGTACCGGTCGTCCCATATTTGAACTACAGCGAACTGCGCCCTTGGGTTCCTAAGGAGCAGATCATCAGGTCTTTTCTCCCACAGAGCAGCCAGTGGGTTTGAACCATGGACTATTCAGTAGCAGCCAAGTACCTAACCATTGTGCCACCAGAACTCCTTACAAACACAAGCGGGGGGTGGAGGCTTCAAAAAGTTTGTATAACAATTCCATTATTATTTAATTTCATTTTTCTATGAACTTTCTGAAGCCCCCTTGTATATTTATCACATGTGTAGCGGGAAAAACATCTCGGTGGGTAGATGGTCACTGAAGGTTTGAAAGGAAGGGAAGGAATGAAAGGCGGTGGAGGAGCCAATGTGTTTGGGGCCGTGCCCCGCCCCCAATTTGCTATAACTGCTCCTGTCCCTGTTCCCAGGGTGGCGCTGAAGGAGAGGAATGGAGCAGTACCAGAGAGTGAGTCTCCGGTGAAGAGGCCACCGAGGAAGGTTGCCCGTGTCCTGGGCAGTGAGGGGGAGGAAGAGGAGGACAGCACCCTTACCTCCATCAAAGACCAGGTAGGTCCCCATCACCTGTCCATTGTCACAGAGGACATGAGGAAACCATCCCCATTAGCCTTGGGAACTGAGTGCTGCTGCTGCCCTGGGTTTAGCAGAATATCCTGGATGTGCCCTGGAGCAGACAGTGTGGTCTATGTAGTCCTAAGTCAGCTTGGGCCCTGGGGACCTGGGACAGGTGCCTGACCTGGCACATGGCGGCTCCGTGTGGTTGCTCGACTCTAGAGTTCACTTGGAAGCTGGTGTGAGTCAGTCCATGCACAGATCTTAGAGTACTGCCAGCCCGTCCACTACTGTCGGGTAGATCTGGACTCTGAGTGACCCTGTAGGACACAGGAGAGCAGCCCTTCAGGGATTCCAAGGCTATATCAGTCTTAGGGAAGCCAAATGTCACATCCTTTCTAGAAGAGTGACTGGTGAGCTCGAACCGCCAATCTGTAAGTCGGCTCGCTGGTGCTTCACCATTGCTCCACCAGGGCTCCTTTAGTGACCTTTGTGTTACCTGTAACCTTCATTCTCCTTTGCCCTGTTGTGGGTTTGATTATTAGTCACTATCCAGTCAGTTCTGACTCAAGCTGACCCTTTGTGGACAGGGTGGAACTGCTCCTGAAGGTTTTCTAGGTTGTGACCTTTCAGAAGGTCACCCGGCTTGGCTTGGCCCGTCTTTCTAGGTATGCCTGAATGGGCTCAAATCGCCAAGCTTCCTGCTAGTATTTGGGTACTTCACCCTGTATACCTCCCAGGGACTCCCAGCATGTTCCCAGGTTTTTGGGGAAGAGGACTTGGACATCCTTGTGAATCTGGACTTGCCCTGAGGCTCTGAGATCCTGGAGGGTTTTGTTTTTTTTTCCATGTTTTATTATGAATTATATGATAGTTTACATGAGAGAACCTCAGTTCCATATTTATTCCATCGTATATCATTACATTGCCATGGTTCCAATCCCCTCCATGCATTGTCTTCCGAACAAAGGGCATATCTTAGAAGCCTGTGCTCTATACTCCCCCCTGTCTTCGGCCCACAGTTCCTCTCCCTTTCTGGATCCAAAGTCCCCAGGCGCTTCATCCTTCCATGTCATCATCTCTGTCTCCATCTCAGGCATCCCCGGTTCTCTGGGTGGGGTCCCGTTCTTGGCTCTTATCCGTTGGTGGTCCCAGAGACCTCGCTCCTAGACTGGAGAAATAGTCGCTCTCTTTCTTGCTACAAAACATCTACCCTTGCATTTCCAACACTCACAATCCGTCTTGATAACCATTATTCACTACAGTATCGCATGTAACCCATCTGTATTTCATTTCATCTGCTCCACCTAGACAAATTGGATAGTATTCACTGGTGATTCTGCCTTCCTCCATGCCCCCTAGCTCTAGGTTCCCTCTTGAAAGCTTGTAAGCCAGTGACTTCTTGTCTTTGTAGTCCCTCCCTCCCCATTTTGGGTATCCAGTGTCCAAGTTGCCCCTCTCTGTCTACTCTGTGTGTGGAGGGGGTGGGAATGTTTCTTGCTGTAAGGATTTGTAGCCTCTTTTGTATCACTGCATTCATATGCATAGGGTCAAGTTCATCAGCTTGGATCAGCTTAATCTTCTCCCCCCCCCCATCCCCCCCTCTTCTTTCTTCTGGTTGAGCTCATCCAGTCCTGGTCACGTGGGTGTCATCTGCAAGTGTGGGTGTTCTTGTGCACATGCCCTCTCTTCCCATCAGCCGGCAGCTCCATTCTCCACTTGAGTCCTCCGTGGCCACGTCACTGACTCTGGGCCCAGGAGTCCTCAGGTCTCCTCGCACTGCTTGCCAACCAGGTCCCCAAATGGGTTCACAGAAGCCCTCTGAATATTGTGAGGCTTAGCTCGCGGCTACATTGCTGCCTCTACCCCATTTCTCCCCAACGGTGATGCATGTGTTTACCAATCCGAGCGTGCATTTCCACCGAGTCTCAGCCTAGAGGGGTTTTGAACGGAAGAAAGATGAGGCTTTCTACTCCCGTAAAGATTTACACCCTCGGAAACCCTGTACAGGGTCGCTATGGGTCGGAACCTACTCGACGGCACTTCACAACAACAACAACACAACATGCACTAAGGTTATTGTTCTTGCGTCTTCCAGAAACCTGCCCCGGGCTCCCCACAGGCCTCCCCTCCCAGTCCTGCCAAGTCTCAGGAGAGCACCTCTTCCCACTCCAGCCCTGGCCCCATGGACGTCTCCCCGTCAGGGATCCCAAAGCGTCGTACAGGTGAGGACCAACGACTGCCCTTCCATCTCTTATCTCTCTCACACACTTTGGCTATGACCTTGGGGTTGTGGTTAAGAGCTCAGCTACACCCATCACTGGCTGTGTGACCTTGAGCAAATTACTTACCCTCTCTGAGCTTTAGTAGTTTTATCTGTAAAACAAGTTGGCCATTTTTAAAGGATCTACTGCAAAGAGAATAAGGCATTGATGGTTCATTCAGTACAATTCTTGTCTCCCATGTGGGAGACCTAGGTTCCATTCCTGGTCAGTGCAGCTCATGCACAGCATGTCAGTGGAAGCTTGCCTGGAGCTATGATGCGGAATAGGTTTCAGTGGAGGGAGCTTCCAGAATAGAGGAACTAGGAAGAAAGGCATGGCAATCGGCTTCCAAAACTCAGCCAGTGAAAAACTTAGGAAGTACAATGATCCAATCAACGGGCAGTGTTTTGTTTCCAAAAGACTCCTTTCTTTTAGAAGGGTAGTTACAAGGTGAAGGATCAAGAAGCAGTTTATTAGGGAAGTAAAGGATCACGACTCAGAAGTAACAGGAACAACACAGGGTGCAGTTCTTTAATCAGGACAACTTCCTGTCTGATTGCTCTGGGGACATTAGGGGGCAAGTGTTACAACTCTTAGCTCCATGGGTGGAGCCCCACTATAGCTGTCACATGCTCGTTTCCTTGTTCTTCCTAAAGCTGCGCTGTCCTCTGTCACTGTCTTCTGTGTTACAGCACCTTTCTTTAAGCCTGATGGGATGGCAAAACTTACCAGTCTGCACCTTAAGGTTCCATGTATCTTACTTGCTTGGCAGTATGATAAACACTTGACCTCAAGGTCGGTTTGGCTGCAAGGTTGGTGGTGCAAACTCACCAGGGGCTTCTTGGAAACTCTGTACAATAGGGTGGCTGTGAGTCAGACCTGACTCAACAGCACACAACAACAACATCCCCACAAGGGTGAGGTGTACTTTATTTACATTATTAGCAAGCTATCCAATCCCCTCAGTGAACCATAAGCACCTAATTTGCATAGTCCCACAGGGTCATTGGGTGGGAGTTACAAAGGACTATCTGAATTAGTTCACGACACCATAGTCCTGTTGTACATGACGTTACTGGAAGTTGGGGGTTGACTCAGCGGCAGCCAGCCACCACAACCTTAAAGAGATGCTGTGAGGATTCAAAAGTGAGTTCCGTGAGGGGCTCACATGTGCCCGGCCCATAGGAAGTGCTCTGTCACTGTTGGCGCTTGTGATGGTTACTGTGCCCAGTGACCATGACAGCCCCGCTCACCGTGGCAGCTAGAGGCGGTGCTGTTTGAGCGGAGAGAATGGAAGAAAGTTCTAGGCAGGAGAATAGTATGTATTGAGAAGGGCCTTCCGAAACCCCAAACCAAACCCATTGCTGTTTCTTGAGTTGACTGTGACCCACAGCAACCTTTTAGAACAGAGTTGAACTGTCTCATAGCATTTCCAAGGCTGTCATATTTATGGAAGCAGACTGCCTCCTTTCTCCTAGGGAGAAATACTATTAGGCCGGCTC